AATACAGTTCACAAACATATAATACTAACAAATTAAATTGCTGCTGTTGGAACAAAACATCATATCTTTGCCTTTACAAAAAAAAAAACCTGCTTAATTTTCAATCTAAGTTAATGTAACATTTTGACATGTCATTTTTGGCAAAAAAAGACAAATATGGAGATATGAGGTTTTGTTCTGACAGCAACAATATGCATTTCCGAAGGAAATAGAGTGCTTGCAGGCGAGAAAATAATCTTGAAAGATCACAAGTGCTAACTAAGGTGGCAACGAGTAAAAAGAAAGAAAGAAAGAAAGAAAGGAAAAGAAAAAGAAAGAAAGAAAGAAAAAGAAAGAAAGAAAGAAAGAAAGAAAGAAAGAAAGAAAAGAAAAAGAAAGAAAGAAAGAAAGAAAGAAAGAAAGGAAAAGAAAAGAAAAGAAAAGAAAAGAAAAGAAAAAGAAAGAAAGAAAGAAAAAGAAAGAAAAGAAAAGGAAAGAAAGAAAGAAAGAAAGAAAGAAAGAAAAGAAAAAGAAAGAAAGAAAGAAAGAAAGATGTTCAGGCAGGATGCAAAATAAAGGCAATAACAGCCTCTGTTATGTAACCTTTTGCTCAGTGGTTTAATGGATTATAACTGTTTTCACTAGACTTCATTAAAACATTCAAAAATCATTCAAACAAGTTACCCTCTGTCTAGCGGTGTCTGAAGCGCTACACCACTTATCACCAGCAGGTGGCAGTATAATTAACCGCTTTTGCTTTAATTGAGTCAACAAAATTTCCAGTGCAAAATAGGAGAAATTTGTCAATAGAAAATACAATTTAAAAAAAAGACATAAGTAAATCTACACAAATATCAATACAACAACAAAGAGAGATTGCAAGGCAATACAAAAACCGATAAAAAAGAAAGAAAAAGTTAAAAATTACATTTTCTCAGCCTTTGAGAATAACCCTGCTGAAAAAAACACCATTAGAAGCGTTTGGATTAAAACATGGTGGCTTTGCTTTATTATAGGAATTTGCTAATTAGAGACCAACCAGTTTCATGTAGGACATCTTTAGATTCCATTAGCAAACCATAAAATGCATCTAGAATGAGTCCCAGAATGACCACGCTGGGGTGACCAGCTAAACCAGCACCAGACCAGCATAAACTAGGACAAACCAGCATAGACCAGCTCAGACCAACATGAACTGCATGCTGGTTTGTACTGGTTTTTTCAGCAGGGTTTATAACAACAGGGCCTAATTAACAGCAACATAATCATTATCTAATAGTTTGTTAATGACTGTTCATAATTATATATGAGTATATATGACAATATATGAATATATTACATGTGAATTCATAAATGCTAGCATAACCTTTTGAATTATTAACCATTTTCCTGAATTCAGTGTGTGAAATGTTGGCTGGCTACTCCAGCGTTAGCTGGCTGCTAATTCACTTGCCATTGCAGTGCTGATACCAGCTTTAATGGCAACAAAATGTCTGGTTTAACAGTTCTTTTTCTGGAAATGCTCTTTTCTAGTTTGGTAATGCAGTCTTTAATTGACATCTTACGCTTCTCCTTTTTTGTCTTCGGTTCGAGAAGTGAGTAACAGTTCACTCCACTTCTTGGGAAATTGGGCAAGTTTTCAGATGTACAAATATGCTGCAGCATACTGTAGAGTTTTTCAGAGGTATTCTGGGCATAGTTACAGTTAGGCTTTGAAGGGTCAACTGGGTGAACCAGTCTTTTACAGCACCACCCTGAGGCAGAGCAGTGCTGCAGCTCTAGTAAGAATATCAAAGACAGAAGCGTACAGATGATAACGCGCTTTTCCTGAATTTGAATTTGTCTTTTTTCCCTAACAGACATCATAAAGTCATAATAAGTTTAATTTTTATGCTTATTTTTATTATTGTTTTTAAATAATTATTTAATTTATTGAAGGAAAAATGCTGGTCAGCCCTACCTGGTCCTGTGTGAAAAAGTAACTGCCCCACCCCCAACTATTAAATCAATCAGTTAACCAAATTCAATTGACTGTTGGGTTCGATTTTGATTACTGCCAGACCTGTTGAATCTAAACATCGCTTAAATAGAACTTGTCTGGCCATGTGAAGCAGGCTAGACGTCATTGAAATCTACCAGTCTGGAAAGGGTTACAAAGCTATTGTTAAGGCTCTGGGACAAACCACAGTGAGAGTCATTATCCACAAATGGAAGAAACTTGGAACAGTAGTAAACCTTCCCAGGAGTGACCAGCCTACCAAATATTTCACCAAGAGAGCATCAACAACTCATCCTGGAGGTCACAAATGAACCCAGACAAACATCTAAAGACCTGCAGGCCTCACTTGCCTCAGTTAAAGTCAGTGTACATGATTCCATAATAAGAAAGACGCTGGGCAAAAATGGCATCCATGGGAGAGTTGCAAGGCGCAAATCACTGCTGACCAAAAAGAACACAAAGGCTTGCCTCTCACTCTCCAAAAAACATGTAGGTGACCTCCAAGACTTTTGGGTTAATATTTTGTGGACTAATGGGTCAAATGCGGAGCTCTTTGGAAGACATGGGTCCTGTTACATCTGGTATAAAGCAAACACCACATTCCACCATAAGAACATCATACCAACAGTGAAACATGGTGGTGGTAGTGTGATGGTCTGGGGCAGCTTTGTTTCTGCAGGACCTAGATGACTTGTCATAACTAGTGGAACCATGAATTGTGCTCTCTATCAGAAAATCCTAAAGGACCTAAAACTCATGCGCAATTGGGTTATGCAGCGAGACAATGATCCGAAGCACTCAAGCAAATCCACCTCTGAATGGCTCAAAAGAAACTAAATTAAGGTTTCAGAGTGGCCAAAGCAAAGTCTAACTTGAATCCCATTGAGATGCTGTGGCAAGACTTTAAACAGGCAGTTCATGCTCGAAAACCCTCTAATGTAGCTGAATTAAAACAATTCTGCAAAGAAGAGTGGACCAAAATTCCTCTACAGCGATGTCAAAGACTCATCGCAAGTTATCGCAAATGTTTGATTGCGCACAACCAGTTACTAGGTTTGGGGGGCAATAACTTTTTCACATTAGTGACATAGGTTTTGAATATTTTTTAGTCTTCGGTAAATGGAATAATCATTTAAAAGCTGCAATTTATGTTTACTCATTTGTCTTTTTTTTATATTAAAATTAGTCAAATATTATGAAACATTTAAATGTAACAAATTAACAAAAATAGAAGAAATCGGGTGGTGCAAATACTTTTTACATATATATATATATATATATATATATATATATATATATGAAGGTTGTAAGCACCTTCTACCGCTTATAGCAGGTAAAGACTCTGCTTGCATATAGGACTCCTCTTTTCATGACCCCACCCAAGATACACACACACCACCCCCCACCATTGAAATTGGCCTATTGGCTGCTCAGTTGTTTCTTTGCCACCTGTGTGCCATTGCTGCAATAGTTCATTCACAAAAGAGCAAACCGAAGGCCTGAATGTTGCATTTGCATCTGAAGTCTGTTACTGTTGACTCTCCACATGAACACATGAATACCAAAGAGGTGTCAATGCCCATGAAAGTGGCCATCATGAGGCTGAAAATCAGAAGAAATCCACTATTTCAGACAAACAAGAATGCACAGCTGAGTTAAGCAACAGCAAACAAGAAAACCATCTGAAATAGTCTAAGAAATACTTTTATGTTAAAATAATAATAATAATAATAATAATAATAATAATAATGTAGGTAAGAAACACACATAATGTAGAAACTTTTTGAAAGGAAAATCTTGTCTTGTGTAAGAAACAACATCTTTTTCTAGGATACTGTGGAAAAACACCATCTTTATCACTGCACACTGCAGCTTTTATATTGCTTTCACAAAAACATTAGTTATCTCAATTCAAAGATAATCTAACGCAGTAGTCCATAGGCCTTACTTAAGAAAATTATCACCAGTCAGAAATTCTGCAAAGACATGAATTGCCACTGTCGAGCTTTATAGGCATAGTGTTAAAGAGATCTTGCTAAGGAAAGCAGCACACAGCAAAAATACATGCTTTTCAACATTTCCATGTAGTTGCTTGGCATCCTAAACACAACACATTGGATTTGAAATAGTCAAGTCAAGTCAAATTTATTTGTGTAGCGCTTTTTACAACTGATGTTGTCACAAAGAAGCTTCACAGAAATCCATTAAGGACAAAGTTTTAACATGAAATGTAAATCCTCCAAGTGAGCAAGCCAGGGGCAACAGTGGCAAGGAAAAACTCCCTCAGAGCTGAGGAAGAAACCTTGGGAGGAACCAAGGCTCACAAGGGGGGACCCATCCTCCTCTGGTCAAACTACCTACAAAATTATTATACTACTAATATTAACAGTAATAAGTAGTAATAGTCGAAATAAAGGTTAATGTGAGAAATTTTGACTTTATTTAATAAACCCTTAGTAAATAACCTCAGTCATACAATTTTGTATGCATAAAAACACATAGGAATTTATTATTAAATAAATCAATGCACATATTTTAACAAATGCTAAAATATATTAAAACAACAAATATCATGACTAACTTGTGATGGTGAAAGTGCTTTTTCCTTTAAATAACCATTTATCTTAAAATCTCCATTAAAGGAAATTTCTACAATAACACCAGAAACAATGAAGCAAAGGCCTATTCAGAAAACGTATTGAGTTAAACCATTAACATGCCTACATGTTTAACGTATCTCTTTTTAGTTCTGGTGCAGTGAGAAGTCTCTAAATCTTTACGTGATCAAATGTAAGGCTAAAATTAAAATTACACTGCTTCTTTCTCAGTTAACGTTATTTACTTGTTATGTACTGTTGGAGTGAAAAACCCGTCCCCACTAGGCCTCCCACTTCTCTATTGTCTTTCCTCGGAACGCGACCACACGGCAGATGGCGCCATACAGAAGGACCAGCCCTCTAATGAATATTAATGCTCGTACGTAATATTCAAGAGCTGACGTGTGATGAATATTCATGAGACCCTGAAGCTCATAACCGGACTCCATTTTACACTCTGCCTCATTCGCGCTTTGGAGCAGCAGCGGGAGCTTGTCCTTTTGAAATTGTGGTGAAGGCCGAAAAACACAAGAAAGGTAATTCTTTCAAAGGTATTTTTTTTTCTATCGGTTAATTACGCGGTCTAAATGTTTGCTTAGAGGTCGAAAGGTTTTGAGTTTAGCGCTCTTTTTGACTTTTTGTCAGATTACAATCGAAAACCCACAGCTAACGATTAGCAAGATAGCTAGCTAACTAGCTATCTGTCAGAATTAGCTCATTTTTTACTGTTCCGAATGCGAAAGTAATTTTGTAACAGCTGTATTAATTGATCTCAAACCTGCACTGTTAACCCAGATAACGCCAGTAATGTTACAGGCAAAAATAGGTCAACTACGAAGCTAACGCTAGCTAAGCCGCCATCTTGCGGCGTTGTTTCCTTTGTTCACAGCATTCGGCGGTCTAGCGGCGGGCTAACCAGGTTAGCTATGATTCTGCTAGTTGCGTTGACCTACATTTGATTTTTGCTACAAATAATTGGCCAAGAAATAATTTTTAATACGATTTGAACGCATTGATGATCTAACCTATTAGTCTTTGTTTGAGAGTGAGTTCATGGTTTTTATCATTCATATAATTTTAGGAGCCTCACGGTTTCATTCAGCGCTGCACTTTCCTTACATTGAGCCGAATCACTTCAACGTTTTGTATTGCAGTATTAAAACACGAGGAGCAAAGGTGTAAAGGGGGGAAATGTGTGCCCAGGAGCAGCCAAATATATATTTTGTTGCTTAAGAATAATTAATGTTCTGCGCCTTTAATACATTATTTTAATTCAATCGAGTCTGTCTGTGACTATGGGTGGAACTGTCGGTTATTGCGCCACAAATCAGCAATGTGATTGGCTGCCTATTAGCTAATTTCCATAAAGTTCATTCAGAACGGGGTGTGCGACAGATTTATGTAGCAATATATTGTAGTATTTCCCCTCATTGTACTATTATAAGACGTTTTGTTTGATGTAAATTATCAAAAGGCAGATTATGTTGCGTGATGTCACCGGTCACGTCACTTAGACGCTGCTTAAAATGTCGGCACCCCTAACTTAAAACACCCCTCTGCGTCTCTTCCACAAGGGTCGTGATTTTCGCGAATACAGTAAAAACGGCCTTTCATAGTTTGTGAATTTAATTTTTTCCGTCGTTTGTCCCTGCAGGTGTGGGTGTATGCATATCCTTTATCCATTATCAAAATGGCTGCGCCACTGCTAACCAGCTAACGTTAGCATAACGTGGCCGCGCTGGCTGTGATCCAAAACGCGCTCTAATGGCGAAGTGGCTGGTCTTTTATGGTGGGCCTCCGTTTTCTGGGGGAAAAACTTAATTCAGTTAAATGACATTTACGACACTATTCCTGTCAACCAGTAGTCATAATCTTACATTTCCAAATTTATCTAATGGTAAGTATAGGGAGCCAATGCAAGAAAAAGCCTAGCTTTAGCCTTTTTTGTAAGTAAAACAAGCAGTGTGGGCTGCTGATGGAAATCTGTTTGCATATCTGGTGCTTTCCCTGTTATTAATGGCATGTTTTTTAATATTTATTTGTTTATTTTAAACAGATGTCTGACGAAGGGAAGCTCTTTATCGGTGGCCTCAGCTATGACACCACTGAGCAGTCACTGGAGGAGGCCTTTTCCAAGTATGGAACAATTGCAAAAGGCAAGTTATTTGTTAGTGTAGAATTTCTTTAGGAAATAGCTACTACTGCTGCCTAATTTGGTTGGCAGTTTGTAACGGGTTTCTTTCTCTGCCCATTCTAGTCGATGTTATCAGAGATCGTGAGACAGACAGGTCCAGGGGCTTTGGATTTGTTACATTTGAAAACCCAGATGATGCCAAGGATGCCATGGCTGCAATGAATGGAAAGGTAACAAAAGTTGCAATTGTGCTATGCTGTGATTGATATTAAATGTGATGCATAACTTATGACTTTACTTTGTTTAAATTATTTTTCCTTAGTCTATTGATGGGCGGATGATTCGTGTTGATGAAGCTGGCAAGTCTGGTGGCCGGTCTGGTGGTTTCAGAGGTTCTGGTGGTGGCAGAGGATTTTTCAGGGGAGGCAGAGGAAGAGGTATGAATTTTTAAACAGAAAACGCTGATGTGGTTTATTTATTTTTATTTATTTATTTTTTTTAACAATTTGACCGTTTTCCTTTTTATCTCTTCAGGTGGTGGTGGATATGGTGGAGACAGGAGCTATGGAGGAGATCGGGGATATGGCAGCAGCGATAGAAGCTATGGTGGTGATCGTGGTTATGGAGGTGGTGATAGGAGCTATGGCAGCAGTGGTGACAGGAGCTATGGCAGCAGTGGTGGCTACTTCAACAGGAGTGGAGGCTACTCAGGTGGTGGAGGATATAGAGACAACAGGTTAGTTCTGTGTTTAATCCTGACATCAGTACACCGTGTTAGGTTGAACTACCACTAATAACTACTAGTACTACTGTTTGTTTCTAATATAATCGTGTTCTCATTCCAGGAACCAAGGTGGTTATGAGCGTTCAGGAGGATCCTACAGAGACGACTATGACAGCTATGGTATGTACAGAACTCAAATTGCTTGAAACAAATAATTATAACTGATTTGCAAGAAAGGGGTTGATGAGTCTGTTCTGTCCTGGTTCACATACCAGTCCAATGACTGTAACAGCCGTACTGAGACCTTTTTAAACAATGGCAGAATATGGCAAATTATAGCTAATGCTGCACTCTGGAAAGGTCAAATTTCCAACTTGCTTCCAAAGTCTACCAGTGGACTTAATGTATGCTAGGAGATTGAGATGATTGAGTTAACCATAAAATTATGAAAATACCACACCATTTAGTGGTGTCAGTTCATTTATTTGGAAAGGATGTCCAAATGCTCCAGTGCCTTTACTCTTACCTGCTTCTTGTCCTCAGCTGCGCACGAGTAAAAAAAAATCCTGATTCCAAGACCATCCCTTCGCTGGCTGTATTTAAGATGTGCTCTTCGAAGAATCTTTGATTTTCACTTTGTTTAATTTTGAGTGTCTGCTACTCTGCAACTTAAACCATACTGATAGCATCTTGCAGTCCTTTTTTAATTTTTTTATTTTCGAGTTTGAGCTACCCTGCTCTCTGAGAGGAGGGCTTAATAGTCATTCTTGGGCATTTAATTGCTGTAAATGTTAAAGCTCATTTAGATTACCTGTACATACAGTTGTTCCATGAGAAAACATGGGTTTTCTTTCCTTTTGTATCTGTAATGAAGTCTCACTGTTTTGAACCATGTGTGAAATCTCTGACCAGTTCAGCACAGCCTGATAGCTTCTAAGATCAATTGATGGGAAACTTTGGACCAATTTCCACTTTAAAATGGCTCTGGGTGGGGGAAAAGACGGGCGTCAAGCAGAATTTTACTCGGACGTATCTGCCTCTCAAAAAATTAACCATATCATTCCTAAAAGAAGCTTGCCAAGCTGTGATGTGCTCTTGGGGTGACTTGCATCCTTGGTGTTGCAGAAGACTTGTAAATGTTCAGTATCCAAAGAGTGAACTACTTTAAAGCCTCAGTTGATCATGACGTTGAATGATCTTCTCAGGGTGGCCTGAGGTACTTTACTCTTTGTGAGGTTTGAATATTAAAAAGTACTCTTTATGAACGTAATTTAAATCGATCTCTTAATGTCAATTTTGTTCCCTCTGGTGGGAAAAATGTGCTCTGTTCTGTGTACCAACACCTGCAATTTTTGTTCCTTTTTGTAAAAAAATTTGGCTTCATGAAGCCCATTAAACAAGTTGCTGAACATGCTTCGATTTCATTGTGCTTAAAAATGTCTGAAAAGTTAGATATCAAAAGCCAGATGACAGTTCAGTGCTGGGATTAGATTGGATTTAAGTATATGTAGGAAAGGGTGAATTGTGTGGGGGAATTGATTTAAATGTAAGAAATTAGTGGGTTGCTTGGTGCTTAGCAAGTTAGATAGCAGGACTTAGTAATGTGGGATTATGTTGGCAATAATAGAGAATGGTCTTGCTGAATTATTTAAAGCCAGTACTGTATAATGCTTCATTGCATGTAAGAGTTCTCTGCTAGCCTTTTTGGGAAATCAACAATGTCCTTGGAGAATGAAGTGTTGTGCCTACCAACTCAAGAGTCCTCTGAGATGAAAGCTGCTCTCTTGACTAGGGCAATTGTGGAGATAGGCCTGTAATGTGAGGTAACAACTTTTGCTATCCTGTACGCATCCTTCCAACAGTTTCATTATGTAGTCCATCATATTTCCTCCAAAAATCTCAGTGCTCTAGCCAGTGTTGGCTCCTATGACCTTGCTAAATTTAAACTCCTAAGAATTGTGCAACTGGTCCGTATCATGACCCTTTCTAAAGGCAAGTGCTTCATGCCAAAATGAGGAAAATACAACAATCTTGGAATGTTAATATTTTTTTATTTATTCCAAGTCTTAACATTTTTGTGCCCCCTTGAAGTTCCATTTTATGAACATCTAAAGTTCTCAAAGCTCCTTCCATCAAATGAGAAATGCTGTCCTCATATTGCCTCAGTGCCTATTAAGGCACTGATGCTTGCACTGAAGAATCAGCCTTAAAGTCCTTTTTATTCTAAGAATTGCCTCTTTCTGAATGGTTTCTTTTTGTCCTATTGTTACTGTTAGTTTGTGTTGTAACAGTTGCTAATGCATGCTACTAATTTGATACTACTGTGTAGTTGAATTATTTGAATACTGAGATACTTATTTGTTTTTCAGGTTGAAACATGGTGAATGTGGATGTCTGGGCCATAGTCTACAGGGGTTATAGTTTGTGACCAGTTTTTGGATGACAGTTGGATCAAAACTGTGAGGTAAGCACTGGTTATGGGGAAAGATGCTACTATTGACAGGTTTCAGCCATAATTCAAGCATGTTTTGTGGGCAGCAATACATTTTTGGAGCAGGTCATGAGTTTCAGGATAGTACTGTAAACTTCAGGCCAAAGGGCAGCATATGGGGAGTTCATTTTAAGATGCTGTGTAAGTGAAAATTGGATGGAAGTGGGTGAACTTTCCTTCAACAGGTTAAACAAACAGCTGTACAGACTTGAGTGCCATTTTGTCCTCTAACAAATGAGATTCTCAAACCAAAAGGGAGTTTACATTATGCTTTCCCAGCTCCCAGTACAACTGAACAAAGCTATTAAGAGCATTATATACCTTTTGACCAGGTGTTCTGGGAGCTGTAATAGAGCATAATGTTATCTGTCTGGAGGGGATCCTGAGGACTGGTTTGAGATTTGAGAACCACTGAATTATTGCAAGTACTTTAATAGATATGTGAAAGGTGGAACATTCTCGTACTGAGAATTATATACGTGTGTGTGTTCAAGAAATGCTCAAAGTGGCAAGTTAAGATTGTGGATAGTCCTTTTTCTAAAATTTCTAAAATTGATGATCTGTTTCAGGGTCTGGCTAGGGAGGAATTCCCTGCAGTGCTGATCAGCTCTCCATAAGAACAGCAGAGAACCAGTGGAACTCCAAGTGAGGCAAATATGGTTGTGACATGCTCTTCAACCATATCATAACTTGGAACATGTATCTTTGCCTTTTTGATGAAAGCTGAGTGCTTTCATTTTGTGAAAACACTGGATTTAATTAAGGTGGTTGCTGTTAAGTGTGAAGTCAGAATGATTTAATAAAGATTATGTAGATTTGATGTTTTGTGTCCTGATTTTCCGTAATTTGCAGTGACCAACTGAACTGAGACAAGCATGCCAAATTTTGAAGAACAATTTAAGATGGACCTTTGTGCACTGTTACTATGGAAGCACATCAGTAACAAAATTAATATTGCTATTTTTATATTATGTTTGAATTTAAATTTCCCAGTCTCATGCAGGTTGGACTTCAAATTCAGTTTTGCCATTTTCATGTGCCAATTGGTATACCAGCACTAATACTTAATATACACAGGTTTAGATGCTGTATTAATAGCTTTATTTAAAATTAAAATGCATTTCCTGAACTGCAAGATTATGCTTCATGTGGTTATGCAATAATGGTGTCAAAATGATGTAAAATGTACCTTGTGGGCATGTGCGCTCTCTAATAATACATTTGATATTACATTATTAAAGCGAATACCAAGCTTGAACGATGGCAAAATTCAGTTGTAAAAAGGGAAACAGCGCCTCTCCGTTTGCAGTTACATATTATCGCCTGCTGCACTCATTCTGTGGCAAAATGACAGTAAAAGTGCAGATTGCGGTTCAAACTTTATAGACTTGCAGCTGTCGATCGTCCCATCAGTGCGGGGCCAAAAGCACCTCAGTGGAAAACGCTTTATCTGAAAACATGGTGGCTAAAGAGTTTATAGCTGTTCTTACGTTAGCAGATGAGGTAAAGCAGAGCAATGTAGCCACCTGTGATGCTTCTGTCTTTATACGTGACCTGATGAGAGAGTGTTTAATCGACCGTAGGAACGAAAGTCTGGGTTGTCAGTCTGATTGATAAAATCGAGGCTGAGTTTGGCTTCCTATTCGCCAGCTTCTGTTTCGAATTTTCGGGTCCACCTTAACTGGTGCAGCAATAACCAATTATTTAGGCAAGAGTATGTAGCAGCTGCACCATTTAAGGTGGAACGAAAAAATGAATAAGAAGCTACCTTCTGCTTCGTCTTAAACTGTACAGCGGCCACGTTGTAGTGTCTAAATACGGCCGAATGTTACTGCTGCACCGTTTAAGGTGGAACGGAAAATTCGTACAAGAATCTAAAATCAGCTCCGTTTGGTAAACTGAGATGTTGCCAAAAGCCTGTCTGTCATGTAGTGATCCAGAACCCAAACAGAGAGTGTGACTCTCGACCAATGAGAAGCGCTGACAGCGTTGCTACGATACGCCTGACAGCGGCGCGAGATTAAAAAATGGCGAACTCCGAGCAGAAACTCGGCCTCGGTCTGCTGACTGTAACTCGCACAATAGGTAGAGTTTAGATCGTAGAGATAAACACCAAAATGCCGCGTTGGGTCCAGCCAGACACGTCAACGGCGCCGCTGGACTGCATTCAGTACCATCACAGAGCGGCAGTTTAAGAAAGATACTGTCCAGAATTACACTATTTCAAGAATATTGGACTCAGAAAGCGGGATAGGATTGTATAACGGAGGGAACGCAGCGATCCACGCTCATGTCCGTGTGATGCGTATCGATCGTGTGATGTTTACGTGTGGATATGGTCGTGTGCTTGGTGACACAGAGAACCTGTTGATGTGATTGTTTTTCCTCTGGTTTTGTATTAAGTTTATTTCATTTAATAGTCCTTACACTCCTTAATCCGTGTAGATATCTGTAGTAGATTAGCACCTTTAGGTTCTTATTTGCCAGCTTCCTGTTCGCATTTTCCTGTTCCACCTTAAATGGTGCATCAGCCAGCATCTTGTTTGAATTTTCCTGTTCCACCTTAAATGGTGCATCAGCCAGCATCTTGTTCGCATTTTCCCGTTCCACCTTAAATGGTGCAGCTTCAGGCACCAGAAAGTGACTGCTGCAGTATTTAAGGTGGAACAGGGAAATGCGAACAAAAAAAACTGGCCAATAGGAAGCCAACATAGCTTCGTCTTTCCGTGTTTAAAGATTAGAAGTGATTCACACATTGATGGATTTGCTGATTGTGTTTTACCAGAGCTCGCGCCGTATCACCTCACCTAGAGAACAACAGGCAACGCGGCATCTAGGTATGTATATCTATGGTTTAGATGTTAGCATCTTATTCTTATTTCCCGTTCCACCTTAAATTATATAGTTCTTACATTCAGACGCCTCTTGGGTCGCCTCGAGGGATTATTAAATGAAGCGCGGTGTGGTGCGGTTAACACAGCGGACAGACAGAGCCCCACTGAGTTCAATAACTTAGTTAAGCTACTGTTTTAGCAATTTTCATATGTGAATTATGTGAGGACGAACAGTAGCGGCAAGAACGGCAGAGAACCATGGTATGAAAAAGCGAGTTAAGGAGGATGGGGAGATTTCTGAGCAGGTGGGCAGTGAGAAATGTTGACAGGGTGTTAATTCAAGTTACTTAGCTAGCTAGCTAGCTAACTTTAGCATCGGTTCTAGCACACTGACTGTCGCGTAATTTTGGCTAGTCATATGTTACCAGTGATTTACATGGAATTTCATTTTGTCTGGTCTATAATTACATTTTTACTAGTATAAAAATATAATTACAGATATCTACAGTTACAGATGTACTAGTAGAAATTCTAATTACAGATATCTACACGTTAATTGTGACTAGTAAAAATCCAGGTCCACATGTCCCTAATTGAATTTTGACTAGTAGAAATACTAATTCAAGGTGACTATGACTAGTTGTAATATGCATTAGAGATATATATATATATAGTTTCAGATTTCTAAAATAGTTGTAGATACCTAGAATTCTCTTTTGACTAGTAAAATAATATTATTAATATCTAAATGTAGAATTATAACTAATCAGAATGCAGTTTTGACTAGTAATAGCTACTTCTCAACTCTGTATGTGTAAGAAACGTCTTTAATTGCAGTTCAACTAGTATGAATTACATTAGAATGAGTAATAATTAAAAATAAGATACCAAAAATCATCATCATCATCACTTTTATTTATATGGCGCCTTTCTCATGCTCAAGGACGCTTTACAATCAAAGAACATCAACACATTAAACAAGAGGACAATACAGGTAAACATTCAAGTATAAACGGAACAATGATAACACAGTGAAAACAAGTAACTCTTGAGATTTAAATGAAGATTTGCATCCTGAATAGACTGGGGGAGAGTATTCCATAATTTGGGAACTACTACATTAAATGAGCAACCACCCACAGAAGTCAATTTAAACCTTGGAACATGAAGAAGGCCTAAATTTTGTGATCTCAAAGTATGGGAAGAGACACGTAGATAAAGAAGCTCTGCCAACTATTGAGGAGCCAGACCATGCAAAGCTTTGTATGTTATAAGGAGAACCTTGCACTGAACACGGAATGTAATGGGCAACTAGTGAAGACTCTGAAGAACAGGGGTGATGTGGCCATTCTTTTTTGGAAAGGTGACGATCCTAGCAGCGGCATTTTGAACATACTGTAACCTAGCGAGGGTTTTGACCTCGTATTATTAAGGCTTGGGGTTCTATTTGGCACTGTACTTTTTACTCCTCACATTTTCTTTTAGAAAAGTATTCTTTTCTCTGTTCCTTCATGTGCTTTGTATTTTATTGTTTTAAATTAAACATTCAACAAAAATTGATATCGGGGTAAAATGAAACTGCCCTATGTCATGAAATTTGGTTTACCTTAGTCAGGTGTTCATGTCTTTTTTTGGCTGTTACCCAAAAGCATAGCTAGGTATTGGTCGGTAAAATGGAAATCACTTTAGTACAGAAACTCTACAGGGACATGAGTTACTGCCTGTATTCAAAGATGTTTAGAGTTTACTTAGTAAAAATGCGATTTCAGTTTAAGATGATGGAATCTTAATCATGTTAAATCACTCTTTGTGCACATTTCTTTAAAAATGATCAATAAGGTAGTAATACAGCATTCCAAGAACTTTGATATGCATTTCTCCTCATTACTGTTTTCTTTCACATACTGAAATACCATCTCTATGGCAACTGCTGCTATCTTTAAAGGGGAAACTATAGCTAAGGTGATGTTAAGCTGCTTTTGGTTGTAATCTGTTTTATTTGCTGCGTCTCAGACTAATCTGTAATTCACCCTTGCTTACAGACTGAGTAAACTTGGGTCTGTGCATTGTTTTTCACTTGGATAATTGAATAGCTCACGATATAATTTCGTTCTAATGTAAAATGTAAGCTGACTGTACAGTTCAGCTAAATCAATGCAACAGTGTTGTAATTGTTACATGAAGCAAGCTTAAATAGTTATGTAATAGGGACGCACAATGATATTGGAATAATATCGGTAGCAGCAGATAATCACTCCAATAAATAAATGGTCGGCTTTAAAATCAATATTTGATGTTGTACTTATTGGACTCCAGAACAGCAGAGCGTTTAGGTGAAAATTACTGCATTTTATTCATTTTACTTCATTTACCTTTGTAACCCTGTAGAAATATTTTGTTTATCTGTAATGCTAATCCAGATGTAGTCCCTATTTCTATATTCTAGAAATGTTTATGTATCACCAACAGCACATATGTACAACCCTATTTCCAAAAAAAGTTGAGCCACTAAGCAAAATGTAAACAAAAGACAGAAAGATGTACAAATCATTTAAACTGCATATTTAATTGAAAATAATACAAATACAACATATTAAAAGTCGAAGCTGAGACATTTTATTGTTTTTTGAAAAATATTTGCCCATTTTGAATTTGATGCCAGCAACACGTTTCAAAAGTTTTGACCGTGGCATGTTTACTACTCTGTAAGAGTTTGTGAACTGAGGTGACCTGCTGTTGTGAAAGTGAAATGTTTTCCCGTTCTTATTTGATATAGGATTTCAGGTGCTCAACAGTTCTGGGTCACCTTGGTTGTATTTTGCGTTTCATAATGCGTCAGTGGGTGACAGGTCTGGACTGCAGGGAGGCCAGTTTAGCACCCGAACTCTTTTACTACAGAGCCACGCTGTTGTAAAACATGCAGAACGTGGTTTTGCATTGTCTTGCTGAAATAAGCAAATCCTTCCCTGAAAAAGACGTCGTCTGGATGGCAGCAGTAATGCTGAACAAACCTGTATATATCGTTCAGCATTAATAATGCCTTCACTGAAGTGCAGGTCACCCATGCCATGTGCGGCCCCCGTTCCTTCACGGGCGCTGGCTTTTAATGTGCGCTGATAACAAGCCAGATGGTCTCTCTCCTTTTTAGCCTGGAGGACGCGATGTCCATGATTTCCAAAAAGAAATTCAAATTTTGATTTGTCGGACCACAGGACACTTTTCCACCTCCACTCGGTCAATCTTAAATGAGCTCAGGCCCAGATGTCATAATTTTTTAGGTAACTGCATAGAAATGACTGCATTTTATTCATTTTACTGTCTTTGTAACCCTGTAGAAATAAATATGTTGTCTCTCAGTAATGCTAATCCGGGTAGATGTAGTCCCTATTTCTACATTTTATAAATGTTTATGTACCAGCAACATGAATATGTACATGGAAAATAGCAGATACTGGCATCCCATATAAGTGCTTCCCTCCTGTAGTTCACGTCTATATATATTTTAATTAATTATGCTTTATAAATAATTTCTGCATATTATGTAAGGCATGTACCCAGCAGAGGCAAAGTGTGCAAAGCCACAGCTTTTATTTCTACAACTGCACCCGCGGTGTTGTAATGTTACCACAAGGGGGCAGTGTCGTCTTACATTTAGCACAGCAAACTAATAGGATGAGTTCAGGTCATGTGTGTTTTTGGCTTTGAGGTGATTCCAGTACCATCGTGTTTTTAGTTTTGCCTTTGTGGAGGAAGTGGAAGTGTCTGAAAGCAAAAATCGAAAACGTGTCCCGAGTCATTCACCCTATTTAATTGACGAGAAGGTTAAATTGTTATGAGTACTGATGTTACAAAGCATTAGACTCTAATTATGCATCAAATGAAATTAGACATGCTTCTCTGTTCTGTTCCTTCTGCTTTTAGCATCCTTGATAAGTCCCATTTATGATAGATCGAATCCACTTAAGATGGTAGGTTAAGCGAACGTATCTTGACACATAGTCCTTGCCGGCTTTATAATTACTGGACACAATCCCATGCGCCACATTTCCACAAACCAGTGGACCCCCGGAGTCACCCTGTGGATGAAAATGAACAATAAGTTTTGTCAACATTATTTAGACAGTGGTCTTACATGAATTAGCGTTTTGACAGTAACGGATCGTGACAGGCTTCAGGAGAGGGAGTTGCGATCACTCACTTGTCCAGGCCCTTTGAAGCCCTCAGAGCACATGATGTCAGGTGCGGTACAGTTTTTGGTTTTTGAGATGGTGACGTTGACCTCTTGTAGAACTTCTGATGGAAACTCTTTACAAAATGTCTGGCATCCCCAACCCATCACCAAGCAGTTGTGTCCGAAGCTTTCGTTTTCAGATGCAGGCAGGGCAACAGGCATCACCGTTTTACTGAACTGTGCTGGTTTACAGAGCTGTTTTAAGTGCAGAAAAAAGGTTTGTAAGAAGCTTTTCAGTTTGCAAAGAACCACACAATGTATGTGGAGGCAACTTTGGTGAATATATTGATTATAGTAGTATTTTTCTCCTTACCTTCAAAAGCATGATGTCATTTTCATAGGTTGAGCAGTTGTATTCTGGATGTGGAATTGTTTTTACAAATGCACTGTTTTTGGCGATTAAACCCTTTGTGCTGTGGACCCCTAAAAATGCCACAATGCTGTAGGGAAGAGTAGCAAGATATGCCATTGAATGAACAACTGCAGTCATGGTAAGAGTTCCCTTTTTGTAAAAACTGGTTAAAGCATGGGTGGAAAGCAAAGAACGAGTTGGTAGTCTACAGGCAGGGGAGGATGTAATACTTTTAAAGGAACGGTTCAGCTAAAAAAAACTTTACACAATGTTCCTCCTGTAGCCTAGATGCAGCAGACGAGCTGAGACATGTTTGGTGCCCTGATATTGTTTCCTTAAATTAGTGCTGGAACTATGAGGCTAACATTGCTAACAAACACTAGAAGTCAGTAGTCACCCAAAACCTCTCTCATCACACATACAGCTCTTTATTAAGGCCGCATAGACTTAAGGCCTATGTGTCAAACACAAGATCAGTCATATCACCAAACCCATTTCAGCTGCAGTTCTACCGACATCACCAAACACCAAGAAGCTCAGAAAATTAAGCTGGAGACTTAATGAACTTACAGCAAAGAAAGGATGCCAGGTGTCTAGTTTAAGCACATAGGTAGGTTTAAAAGACTGACCTCCTGGGGACATTTAGATGTTTAATATTTCATGTATTCATGTAATATTTTAAGGTCTATTATAAGTGCCTGTATTTTACTGTTGAAATTTTATGCATATTTTGAATATACAGTGGCCAGTTTGGGATACAGCACAACATTAATTAAAAATGAAATAAAAACATTTTTTTTTTCTCCAGCCCACAGATTTGATGAGATTTTCTAATATGGCCCTTTTACTCACAGCATGATTTACTGTGAACTATAAAAATGAACAAAATGTAAACATGTAGCTGAATGCTGCCAGTAGCCACTGTAGACAGCAGGTGTTGTGCTGAATTCCCCTGCAGAATCCTGCTCCAAATGCATGCATGCATGTCACGCAGGCATATGGACACTATGTATATATGTGTATATATAACAATTAGAGAATTGGTGGTGGAGGTGAACGCTCTTGGATTGAGAAATCATCATGTACGGCGTCTTCTAATTCAAATTGATAACAATAAGTTATTTTGGGGGGCAAGTTTTACCCCTGTAAAACTGTGCGGCTTTAAATGGTCCATATCATTGAAAACAACATTTCTTCACTCTTATAAAAGTAGTATGCAGTATGTAAACTATGTACTATGAATTCCACTTCCCCTGCAGAATCCTGCTCCAAATGAATGCATGCATGTCACGCAGGCATATGGACACTAAATGTTATATGTGATTTCTATTATTTCTATTTATAAACATATATCTTATGTTAGCAAATTCAAGATTAACAGTTGATTATAAAAAGAAACAACTGGAATATCAAACCTTATTCTGTGGTGTTCATATGCCTGCGTGACATGAGTGTCGAAAGGATTGCAGCACAATGCTGCGTCTGGCACGTTCAGCAAACATAATTAAGTTTTGTTCATTTTTATAGTTCACGGTCATTCATGCTGTGTCGTAAACCACACTGACCATACTGTGTGACCTTAATGAAGATCTGGATGCAGTTTGAGAGATGTTTTGGGAATGTATTTATGAGAAGGATTTGGGTGACTATTCGCTTCTCCAGCAGTCAATAAAAGAAGCAACATTTGGACACCAAACATGTCTTCACTAATCATCTTCATTTGGGGTACGTGGAAAATTGTGTACATTTTTTTCCCACTACATCATTCATTTAGGGGATCATTTTGCACGCTCTTGGATTGAGACATCATCATGTACGGCGTCTTCTAATTCAAATTGATAACAATGTTATTTTGGGGGGGCAAGTTTTACCCCTGTAAAAGTGTGCTGCTTTAAATGGTCCATATCATTGAAAACAACATTTCTTCACTCCTATAAAAGTAGTATGCAGTATGTAAACTATGTACTAAATTTCTATAAACTTGAAATAAAGTTTCAAAACATACAGTACACCATCTGGTCCATACAGTCCATTATAGATACTAGACTGCGAAAAGGTAAATTTTGAATTTAGTGTTATGCTGATGTCACCAACATCCAGTGCATTTATTTATATCTGCCTAGCCAACCTACAGCAGTTTAGCCCTGCCCGTTAACAATGAAGCTATTTACATATATCAGTCTTAAAGACACAGTAACAAAAAAGGGATAAAGAGAGGTTTATAAAAATTTATTATATAAACACGGACCTCTGGGAAAAATTAAAAATGCTCAATATGGGGGCGTTTTTGCCCTTTGGTTAGGAGTGTTTCTGCTTCGAGTGTTTTCTGAATGAGGCGCAATACAGGGCAGCCAATCAGAACACAGCTCATTTAACATATATCAGTCTTAAAGGCACAGTAACAAAAACACCCTGTTTAATTGTAAGGGATAAATAGAGGTTGTAAAATGACTGTGTTAAATGAACTGTGGCCATGTTGGTACTTAAACCACACAAATGTTATAAGTGGACCTCATTGAGAAAAATGTAGGATATTGTCTCTTCAGTATATGCTCTTACTTATGAGTTCTTACTAATTATTTGATCATCATACTTCCTGGAGTAACGCTTTAGTTACTGAAATAACCTCTGAAAAGAAAATCATCACTGATGCTTGTCTTTGACCTGGCATGTGAACCGAAACCCAGTAACGTGCCATAAATTTTGTGCTACTTACTAATTATCCTAATTATTATTATAATTTATGATATAATATTTACAGTATAGCTTAGTTAACAGGTTCTTGACTCATATGTGCCAAGAGTTGACCTACCGGCCGTTGCAGTGGGCTGCGGTCACCACAAAGTTCTCGTTCACCAGGAATCCATCGCAGGTGTTTCCGGTCATTATGTCCACAATGTACACCATGAAGGGGTGACTATGTGGAACCGACTCCTTTCCACCAATAATGCCTTGACGCGTAGAGCCACCTGACCAAGATTGTTAACATTTTCCTATGAATATTCATGTCGTTGCTCTTTTATTAAAACCTCACAACTCTGTTATTAGAAAATGCAGTCCAACCTCTAGATTGTGTGAGTATTTCATAATGAATGAATGAATAAAAATCCCAATAACATACATTAAAAGTTAAGAACTCATATAAAGTTACCACATCAGAGATACAAAGTTTTGTTTCATCTGGCACAATTTACAATATGTACAACAGATTATGCATTAGGGTGTAGAAGGAAAAAACTAACAATTCTGCTAGTTTTTCAATAAATTTCTTTTATTAAGAAAGGACTCTATTCTCCTCTCCAGTGCTGAACTTTGCAGTGTTGAGAAGTAGCAAACAGCTGGCATAAAGATGTGCAAATCCACATACCTGACTCCCATTAACAGTACTGCTGATGGAAGTGTGCAGTAGATGCGATTACCTGGCATAAGGTTTTGCAGGAGTATAAACGCGCCCAGGCACAGCAGCACACTCATGGCCGACGCAGCTCAGTCACCACAGCTTGCGAGTAAAAACCACCTGCTGCTGCTGCTGCTGCTTTCCTTTTATATCGCCTTTTGAGGGACCCTAACCAGGAAGACACTTCTGCTATGAACTCCTTTTTACCTTTTCTTTTTTTAAGGCTTAGCGCAGACGTGTACAGCAGCCTGAACACGTCCTCAAGCAAAAGCATTCAAAGCTGCTTCAGTGAAATAGAAGTAAACACACATGTGGGGTAAACAACTTGAACAGAAGTACAATAGTAGCAGCTTAATGAACTACTGAAGAACTGGGTAACATATAGAACTGCAGGGAGATTTTTTTTGTTGTAGTTCTGCTCTAAAATAACATGAAAAAGGTGTGAAAATAAAATAGTTACTGTAACTAAATTTTAATGATAGTCATAACTGACTGAAAAGTAAATATACTTTAATATGCTTATCTGTGCTGTCATATGCATAAGTTTGGATGTCCCTGGTCAAATTACATGCTTTGTTGATTTTATAAGTGGAAAAAAGTTAACACATCCTCTACAGGGAACACACGTTTTATGCACAATTACATTTTAATGCCCAATTAGTGTTTATTTGCTAAATTGAACATACTGGGGGGAAAACACATGAAATGTAGCCTGTGCAGAAGTTATGGCACATTTTTATTTACTTTCCAATATGTTAAACTTAAATAAATAGTAAAAAATTTTGTAAAATTTGCAGAAAAATGTCATGTTGAAGTTCCCTGTAGAGGATGCGTTAACAAAACATGCAAATTGACTGGTTGTTCAGATAGTTGCATAAGACTATATACTCATAAATATACTTGAGCAGAAGCTCTTTTGAAAAGGAAGTATTTTGAAAATCAATCAAAATATCACTTAAATACATGTAACTGAGAAAATGTAATTGGCTACTACCCACCTTTACCAGTTACCAGTTTAAACATGCCCTTGTTCACTTGGCCTCACCATTCATTTATTAACTATATTAGCTCAAGTGAAGAGTGTTAGATGAACCCTTGGAGTGGTGAGGGATTGAGGGAACTTCAGCAGCAGAACTTGCAAAGAAATCTTTGTGACCTGACACATTTAGCTTTCAAGGCCAAAAACGATGGTGGGCAAAACGGTTAATAAACCAAAATAGTTAATAATAAAACTGTTAACAAATGCTTAAAGGTGCAGTGTGTAAGATGTAGGGAGATCTATTAGCAGAAATGGAATATAGTATAAAAACCATGTTTTCATTAGTGTATAATCACCTGTAACTAGGAATCAGTGTGTTTTCGTTAGCTTAGAATGAGCCCTTCATATCTACTTAGGGAGCAGGTCCTCTTCCAACAGAAGCCGCCATGTTGTGCAACCATGTTTCTGCAGTAGCCCAGAACGGCCAAACCAAACACCGGCTCTAGAAAGTGCCTTTTGCTGGTGCTATAGCACTTGTTGCAAGATGCAGAAAGAAGAAGAATCAGTGGTTTCTGCCAGTGCTGGCTAACCATTTTGTGTTGTGACAACCCAAGTGAGTTTAACAACCCAAATTTTGACAAATGGAGGATCATATTGATTATTTAGCACAAGAGAAAACGAGGAAGTGTGAATCATCGCCATCAAAGAAGCAAAAACATGACTGCCACTGTAGATTCTACTACATGCTTGGAAAGGGAGGGTTGAGGGAGGGGTATTCTTGAAAAATTGAAAGAAAAAGAAAAATCCCCTTCTGCTGTTAGTGGCCGTTTGTTTATTGTATGTGTGACACACAAGTGGTGAGCTGAAATTGGCAAGGACATTTAAAAAAAAAAGTGTTACAATGGGGCCAGTCTGAGGTTGTGGCTGAGGTCAGGCTTTTTCCGTATTTGCAGAATAACTGAACTAAAAAATGAAGCTGTTGCTCTTAGTGTGGGTTAAATTATGAGAAAAACTGATCTTCTGTCAACTCAACTTATTTCACTTTTCTGCTTCAAACCTCAAACTGTTACACAAAATGTGCCAATATATAATCAAACCTGACCTTAAAGGAGATAATATATGTCTTCATGTTGCTATTTTAGTCAGTAAAAGCTTTATAGAGTAGTTTGAGTAGTTTTGGACACTTAAAGTGTCTGTGACCTTAGAGGAGGGAAATAATTGAGTGGACTGGTGCACCGTTTAGCATAAATCTAATCTTATAGTGGCCTGTGATGCACATATTTGGTTCATAATTTATTGTTTAATGTATCTGTAGTGAGGCAGGCAGCCTTGACCTTTTTTTTTCTTCATTTTGCTCCTTCTCTTCTTAAGGCCATGTGTCTCACAAGAGATTTTCTGTCTGCCATTGTTCTCCCAAAGGTAATATTATTGAACACAAGTCCAAATAGTCTATAAAAGAGGGCTTAGATTCGCATCCATTGGTAACATCATGTGACATCTTTTAAACAATGAAAGAAGCCATTTGAAGATATATTTTGTTATTTTTAGCAAATAGAAAAGCGAGCTTTCCACTTTATTTTGCCTTAGAACTGAAGATAATGGACAGAGCCACTATTTTTTCTCTGATCCAGTCAAAGAAATGGTGTTTTAAAGATTATTAGAGAAAGGAATTCCACCAAAATTTCAAAATTTCTGTAAAATTCAATATTTAAGTTGTAAACAAAGTCAAGTGATGTGAATTTCTTACATTTGTGTAGACAGGAGCCAGGGGTCAGTGTCTGCGTCACAAATATAGCCATTTTATTTACTGTCCGAAACCACCAGTGAACGCACACATGTCTTCTGAGCTTTTGTATGTAATGTTGATGCTGGTTAAATAGTGGCAAACTGGAAAAAGTTTTCTTTGGGGACTATTTTGCTTTCAAACAGCCTGCATGTACCTCTCTGCCATGAACAGATTGTAAAAACATGTTTTAGGCCAAAACCTTCTCAAAACTACCATAAAACAATGTCTCAGACATCAGGCAGCATATTAATTTCATGTAATCGCTTCCTGTGAGGGAGCTTTTAGAGGCATTAAACCCTTCAGACGTCTGGTTCTTATCACCGCCACTGTGAACGTTCTGACTCAGCTAGTCTCTAGCTTTTCACATCAAACCATGATCTAATTATGACCATTTTTTTGAAAAATCAGTGGACTTCCCAAGAAAGGATTTTTAAAGGGATTTAAGTCCTAAAAAAACTTATGTATAAAAATAACAAGGTAATCACATATTACAGCAGTATGAAATTCACACACAGAGAATTCGTCCACGAATGCACGTGTGCCAGCACTTATTAGCAAACCTCACACAGGAAACCAAAAAGAACCAGAGTACACCGTATATAACTGCTGCTGTGTTGTGTGGTTGTGTAGAAGTTATGAGTTTATAAGAGTGCATGTCAGCGGAAATATGAGACACGCAATGTAGCCTAATATTGTTCTGTTTACAGTCTGTGTTTGTAGCGTTGTGTTTATGTCTCAGCATTAATGTGCCAAACTTTAAAGAGACCAGACTGTCTGCTGAAACTCTGTTGATTCTAAACAGTGGTGGGGTTAGGATTTGGACCAAGGTTAGGGCTAGGAGCAGGGTGAGGGTTGGGTTTAGGTTTTGAGCTGAGATTAAGGTCGGGGTTAGGATTAGAGCCAGGTTTAGAATTAAAGAAAACTGTGGTCAGTTTAGTAGATATTTAGTTTAACATAACTTGAAAGTAAATTAAGTATCTACAAAGCATCTAAAGCAGACTGTCCAAATAAAGTTTTACCTTTCATTTTCTCTCCTTGAGGTCCACTTGTAATATTTGTGTGGTTTTGTGTACCAAAAATGGTCATAATTAATTTTTACATAACCATTTTCCAACCTCTCTTTATCCCTTAGAGTTGAACAGGCTGATTTTATTACTACATGTTTAAGCCTGATATAAGATAAATGGGCTCTGTTCTGATTGGCTGTCCTGTTCTAAACAGGCCTCATTCAGAAAGCACTTTGAAACAGCTCATTAAAAATCATCTGTTTTTTTTTTTTTTAATTTCTGCATAGTTAAATGGTGAGTCTGAATAGTTCACAGTGGTGGTGATAGGAACCAGATGTCTGAAGAGTTTAATGCCTCTAAAAGCTCCCTCACATAACACTATTACAAAAAATAGTTATGAACACACTGCCTGATGTCTGAGACATTGTTTTATGGTAGTTTTGAGATAGTTTTGGCTTAAAATGTATTAAAAAATACATTCATGGCAGAGATTTTCAGATTTTCCACTATTTTACCATCATCAGCATTACTTATAAAAAAACTCAGAAGACAAGGGTAGGTTCACTGGTGCTTTTGGATAGTAAATAAAATGGCTATATTTGTGTTATAGACATTGCGACCCCTGGTTCCTATCACCACCACTGTAAAGAAATCGGCAATTCACTTTGAATGACATCTCAACCACTGAACTACACTGAAATTAAAAAAAAAAAATTGGTGGAATTCCTCTCTCCAAAGCAATGAGTAGTGAACAAAGATATGTTCAGAATAAGTTTGATTTGGCATAAGTAAAACAACTCACCTTCATTCTTTACGGCCTGAATTGTAAATCTGTGGTTTCCAGGCCCACTTTTCATAGTTCAGTGGTCTCATTTGCTTCTGTTTGTTTGTGTTGCAGGCCACCTTTAGTGGGCTGGCCTTCTTTCAAAGACAGCCACTTTTCCATGACTGTTATGTGGCACTACACTGTTTAATGTAGTAAAATGGAATACAGCAAATTCACTCAGATTACTAAACGCTGGCCCTTTCGGGCTATAATGGTATGCATCTGCTCTCGGTATGTAAATACTCTCAGCTCCACTGCGGGCGTTGCTATTAAGTAGCCTACCTTCCTGCGTCTAGACTAAAGTATGTTCCTCTCATACCTGAACCACAAGCCTTTATTAAAATCATTCTGAGTGCTGCACAACAGTGGTTTTTAGGGGGAGAGTTTGGAGGCTGGAGCTCGAACAGTAATGCAAATCACAGCAGCAGACTTGGAGAGGCAGGAATAGAGGTTGGGGGGGTGCTTCAGTAGAGCATTTACCGGCAGACCAGCAGCTTTATTAGGACCGAGGGGTTAACTATGGGATGGTTTTATAATTGGAT